TACCCTTTCATAGAATGTTAAGTGGCCCAGGGCAGGGCTTCTCAGGAGGAAGAGAACGGAAGTCTTGAGGATGGAAAATTGTGATTGGATGACCTCCCAGGTGATTCTGTAACACTCCCCCTCTCTGGGGGATTAGGACTTTAAATATGTTATGGAAAAAGCTGAGATAACTCGAGTTAGCATGCTTACAAAATGTTATTTGTGAATTCTGAACTGAAAAAAATCACCCTTGTTGCAAAAGACTTTTCAAAATAATCCATCTATACAAACACTATTGTTGGCCAGAGAACTCAGGGTGGATTTAATAGGTAAAACTCCTGAATCTCTGTGCTTTTGCAATTCAAAAAGTGGTTCAGAAATGACAATTTTCAGGATACGTACGTATTTCTTTTCTGGATGTTTATGCTGCTATGAAAATAACAACAGAAACTAACTGGCCATATTCGAGTCTGTTTTCCTCTTTCAGGGTCTTTGGGTCTTGAAGTCTGATTTTAGGTTCAGGTGAGCTATCTGCTCTCAGCCCAATTACAAAGGCCACCCTCACCCATGCAATTCAAAACAAAAACCAAATGAAACTATAAAATAAGTGAAGCTAATGTTATCCACCATTCTGACTTTCTCCCATGATGACTTCAACGCTTCTTAAAAAATTGTTTTTCTGAGGTAGATAATTCCAGGTCTTGATATCCTAGCTTTGTCGCACTTAGCCTGCTACTGGGTAAACCAGCCCCTTTATGGAACTCACCCGTAAATGGCATATCTGAGAGGCCCTCTGACATCTAGCTTTTGAGAGCAGTTTTCTTTTTCCTGCTTCTTCTCAATCAACTGGGCCAGGAAGTTCCCAAGTGCTGACAAAATGCCACTGTGGACAGAGAGGTATTCAGAAAACGTGCAGGAGGGCATCTGTTCTTGCACGTAATTAGCGTGGCGGTTCTAAGAACATGCTGGGGATGGGTAGAGATGAACCCTTATCAGAGCAGCCGAAATGTGAGGTCTCTACATGAAAAGGTGGAGACAGCAGAATTTAATATACACACACACAGGAGCACAGTAAGATTTCCATCTAGTGGGTGGTATCAGTGTCATATCCTGATTGTGATATTAGCCTATAATTTTGCAAAAGGTTACCATGTGTGGCTATAAAAGGGCAACAGGAGGGATCCTTATGATGCAACTTTTCTGTATTTTGACTATGGTGGTGGATACACAAACCTATACGTGTGATAAAACTGCATGGAATTAAACACACACTCACTCATGGACGAGTACAAGAAAAGTTGGGGGAATCTGAATATGACCTATGGGCTGTATCCATGCCAGTGTCCTTGTTGGGATACTGTACTATAGTTTTACAGAATGTTGCCAATGAGGAAAATTGGGAAAAGTATACAAGGGATCTCCCTGTATTACTTCTTACAACTGCACGTGAATCTACAATTATCACAATAAAATTTTCAAATAAAAAGGTGGAGACAGGCCCAGTTGCTCAAAGGCTTGGTCTATAGCTGCGTTCTGAGAAGCTCTCTAAGCTATAAAATCCAAAATTCTTAGAAGGGACAGTAAGGAGCCTCTTGATCTGGTCCTTGGCTACTTCTTTCTCATCGTCCCCCTTGCTCACTGTTCATGTTCTCCAGGGACACAGACCCACCTTCCACTCCACCATTACTAGCTAGCTTCTACCTCAGGACCTTTGCACCCGCTGTGTCCTCTGCCCTCTGCTTCCCGTTTTTGCTCCCTCCCTCCTCAGGCCTCTATTTAAATGTCACCTCCTCAGATAAAAACCGCCCTGACCACTTTATCTGTGTTATACATTTATCTGCTTCTTGTCTAGTTCTTTACTAGAATACAAGCTCCGTCAGGGTAGGAACTTACTTATCTTAATCACCGCTAATGCTCCCCACACAGGAAGCTGCTGTGCACATGTATGAAAAGCTAAATTAATAAAAGGGGACAAATTTATAAAGTCGACTAATTGAAAGTAATGAAGGGGGGATGCCTCACAAAAAGCTCAGTACTCCAAATCAAAGGGCCGACCTAACCGAGCACCGAGGGCGCTGTGTCAGCCTTCTCCCACAGGCAAAGCTGCCAAAGAAAAGAAGCCTTAACACCTCCCACCCCGTCCAGGCTTCCCGCGCACTTCCTAAAGGCGTTCACCTCAACCCATTCTAGTCCATTCTAGTGCTCAATACAGGAGCAGGTACTAACAAGCCGGAAGGCAGCAGCGGATGCCGCGCAGGCTGGCGGGTGACAGACTTCTCCCCCGGGCCCCATTCACCCCGGACGGCCGTCACCTCCGGGGCAGAGGGGCTGGAGGCCCCGAGGTCTGCAGGGTCCTTCGGCTCGTGCACTCCTTTAGTCTGGTCCCTGGGTCCACATTTTAGGGTGTCTAAGAGTTACGGTTCGGAACCGAATATACAGAACGGCACGTGCTGAGCTTTCTGGTTAATTTAAGGCCTCTGGAGGGTCATTTTGACGCACCGGATTTTGCCTTTCACGCTCAAACCCCCACGTTGGATGCACCTATGGGCCTGCGTCACCGGGCCGTCCGAGCTCCGGGCCGGCCCCCTCCGCCGCCGCTCCGTGGTCACCTTGGTGAGCACCGGGTAGAGCCGCAGGAGGCGCAGGTACTGGGCGAGCGCCCGCCGCGGGAATGCCCCGAGGTCGGCCTCGGCCCTCAGCTTCGACGACGCCGGCGCCATCGCCTTCCCGGCGCAGCGCGGGCCGGGGACACCGACCCCACTGAGCTCCAGGTGCGGCGCAAGGGGCTGGGACGGCCGGACATTTCCCGCCCCGCCGCGAGCCGCGAGCCGCACGCCCTCCCGGGACACACCCCTCGGTGCGCGGCGTGAGCCTCCGCGCACTTTTCCGGAAGTCCCTAACGGTCCACCTCCGCCTCAGGCGCCGGAGGCGATTGGAGCTCGGCGGGGCGGGGCGCATCGAGCCTTCTGATTGGGCGAGGAGGTGCTTCCGGTCTCTCGCGAGAGTTGGTGGGAGCGCGCCAAATTTTTACGGGGAAGCTGCGGCGACGGAGGAGGTGGCGCCAGCGCGAAGCTATGGTTCTGAGGAACAGCGGGCGGCGGCGCGCGGAGCCGGGCTCGGACGGCGAGGCTAGCCGGTGAGGGGTGGCCCAGCCTCCCGGGCGGGGGGCGGATGGCGGGCGGCGCGGGAGCGCCCCCTCCGCAGCGCGGGGCTTCCGCGAGCAGCGGCGAGAGCGCCTGGGGCGCTCCCCACGGCCGCCCGACATGGGCTCCGGGTTGAGAGTCTGGCGTCTCTCCGCCGCCGCCCCTCGTCCCGGTGGTTTCGCCTTGTCGGCGCAGTGTCCGGGGCCCTCGGCGAGCGGCCTGGCGGCGGCTCAGCGGAAACTGGGTGTCTCTGGGGCGGGGCCGGGGGGAGGGACGCACCGGAGCGGGGCTCGTGTGGGGCTGCGGTGCGGGCGCGTTCTCCTCGGGGGAGAAGCCCGGGGCCACGCCAGGAGTGCGCCGAGGCGGTGTAGCCTAACCTCGGGTCGGCGCCCAAGCCCTGGGCGCGCGCTGCGGTCTGCGCGTTGTGTGTTCGAGTCGCGGCGGTAGAGGCGCGCAGCGTCGGCCTCCCGGTCCCGCCCGCTGCCTGGCGCGGGCCTGGCGGCCCTGAGCGCTGTGTAGCGCCGCTGCCGAATAGGAAGAGCCGCTGTGGACTTTGGGCGCAGCGCTCGGACAGTGTCGGCCCTGTTGTAAGCGGTCAGTAATGGTGGTTGTCTTAGTTACGGTTGCCTCCGTCGTTCGGGTTTTGTACTATCACGGGGTTAAAAAGGAGTTATGCGGCTCCTGAGAAGTTTTGAGAGGAGGTATGGTCCAAGTGAGCAGTTTTCGAGTTCACTTAATCCAACACTTGATGCCAAGATAGAACCCAGGGTATTTGGAGGAGCGTATTACTAGGCCAGAGCGCCGCACGCCCGGGAGCAATTCTCCGTAAGTAGTACTTCATTCAGTGCTGACTCTGGGTAAAGATCTGGGCCGCAGACGGAAGTTACCGGTGTTCTCTAGCAGGGCCTGGAATACAGTTTTTCTGCGGTTTTGAAGGTGGATCCAGAGATTTAAAAGCCATCCCGTGCGGTGGTGTGTTGGTTTCCCTCTGCAGCTGTAACAGACGACCACTTAGTGGCTTACACTGTACCAGTGTATTCTCAGGTCAGAAGTCCTAAAACTCAAGATGGGGCAGGGCTTCTTTCGTTCTGAAGGCTTGAGGGGAGAATCTGTTCTCTTGCCTTTTGTAGCTCGTAGAGGCTTCTTTCTCCACCTTCAAAAGCAGCACTGTCAGATCTCCAGTCTCTTGCTCTGATTTCTGGCTCCCTCGCGTAAGGACCCTTTATGATTGCAGTGGGCCCACCCAGGTGATCCCCATCTCAAAGTCCTGAACGTAATCACACCTGCAGGCTCCCTTTTGTCATGTAGGATAACACAGGTTCCTTGCATTAGGACACAGACGTCTGGGGGGGGGGTTGTCAGTTAGCCTGCCTACAACAGGTGGCTGTAATCTTTTGTGAAAAATAAGGATCCTAAACTTGAAATAGGTCATTCTGTTCTTCAAGTGGAGGTGATAGGCCCAAGGACTACCTTCAGGCAAAGGAGTTTTTCTTAAGCAACTCTCTGACCACTTTTGTTTATAAGTTAATAACTAGTTAAATGTGTTACAGTAATTAAAGACATGAATTCTGCACAGGCTTAGTTCAGATTTTTTTTTTTTAAAATCTGGTCTCTATTTTGTATATTTAGCTTTCTTAGACTGCTTCCTTTCTTAGACTGCACCACTCTAGACACATACATATTTTTCTCTGCTCACTGGTTTATAAAGTAGCTCATTTATTTACATTAAGACAAAAAGACAGGACTTCCCTGGTGGTGCAGTGGTTAAGAATCCGCCTGCCAACGCAGGGGACACGGGTTCGAGCCCTGGTCCGGGAAAATCCCATACGTCGTGGAGCAGCTGAGCCTGTGCACCACAACTAGTGAGCCTGTGCTCTAGAGCCCATGAGCCACAACTACTGAGCCCGTGCCACAACTGCTGAAGCCCGCGCAGCTAGAGCCCGTGCTCCACACAAGAGAAGCCACCGCAATGAGAAGCCCTTGCTTGCCGCAACTAGAGAAAGCCCACGCATAGCAATGAAGACCCAATGCAACCGAAAATAAATAAAATTTTAAAAAGACAAAAAGGCAAGGGATATCGATTCTTAGCTGTACATTTTTGAGGAATGCAGAATATAGTTGACTTAGCTAACAAATAAGCCTTCTGCCAAAAATATATAGCGTCCAGAATCTCAGAACTGCAGTTTAAAGAAGAGACTAGCTTTTTTTTGGGGGCTGCGTTGGGTCTTTGTTGCTGCACGTGGGCTTTTCTAGTTGCAGAGAGCGGGGGCTACTCTTCGTTGCAGTGCGCGGGCTTCTCATTGCGGTGGCTTCTTTTGTTGCGGAGCACGGGCTTTAGGAACGCAGGCTTCAGTAGTTGTGGCACGAGGGCTCAGTAGTTGTGGTGCACAGGCTTAGTTGCTCCGCGGCACGTGGGATCTTCCCGGACCAGGGCTCGAACCGGTGTCGCCTGCATTAACAGGCTGATTCTTAACCACTGCTCCACCAGGGAAGCCCTAGCATTTGTGTTTTAAGTTGGAATGCTAATAAAATAATTGTTCTGTTTTGAAGATAGATAAGCCATAATTACTCTGGTCGATCTAGATGGGATCACACCTGTGGAGTTAAAGATTGTAAACAATTTGGGATTATCCCAACCTCTGGAATCAGAACAGTTTTGGATAGTTCTGTTGATGGAAAGTCTTCGTCAGGTACTTAATTTAAGGTTTATGATCAAATCTGTATGAAGAGTTATTTACAGAATCCTAACCAGAGAAAGGCTTGGGAAGTTTGAAGCGGATGTACTGAGCTGAGAAGTGATTTCCCTTCTCAGTTGAGATAGTTCCTCTCACACAGAACAATATTATATCCCCACTTTTATCCGTATGTGGTTCTATTGACATCTAGACTCAGACGTCCCAGAAGATACATCGTGTTTTTTTTTTTTTTTTTTAACATCTTTATTGGGGTATAATTGCTTTACAATGGTGTGTTAGTTTCTGCTTTATAACAGAGTGAGTCAGTTGATACATCGTGTTTTTAAGGTACACTTTATTCTGCCACAACAAGTGAGTTTCTGTAACCCCAGTTTGCTCATATGTAGTTGGTAAACAGGAGCATATCAGTAAAATGTGGAGATTATATTGGTTCATTTGCAATTTTCCCTAGGCAAGGGGGTTGGAATCCGCAGTAGGAAAGGAAGGAGCTCTTGGCTGGAGTGTTGCACAGACATGTGCACTTTTGGCTCTGTTTGAAGAAAATTTCAGCTGAGCGCCTGCACCAGGGCCTCCCTCCCATCTCGGGTGCAGGCTACACTTTTCTCCTGTGCTCAGCAGTCATAAACCAGGACCTCTCCTCTCATGTTGTGCATTCAGAACAAACATCTCTGTAAAAACATGGTTAATGACTTTGCTGTGTAGAAATTAAAGCTACCTTTCAATGTTTATAAACCAGGTAAAAGAGAAAATGGCCTAGCCTGGGTCACTGCTGTCTCTATACACTCAGGCACTGCAGACCTCCTTGTTGCACTTTGCTAGTGTGAAATGCGCTTTCCCAGATGTGCTGCAGCCACCTCAGTGTGTGTAGGAGTACTGTGCTTTATTTACATGTGCCTTGCACAGGGTAGTACCTGAAAAGTATTCAGTCAATATTTTTCCAACTCAAATTACATGACTTGAAAACACAGATGAATTAGTTCATTCAAGTTATTTCAAATAACTCTGACATTACAGGATTTTACCTTGTAGCTGACAAAAAACGGATATTCCCCTCTGTTTCTATTGATCTTTAGTAAATATCACACTATATCAAGCACTCACTCAGCTACAAAGAATCCTGTCCTCACATCATATGCATCATGTGGTTTAATCATCACTCCTCCTTTTTGGTAGAACTAGACTCCGCTCCACTGGTCATTCTTTTTTTATACATAATATACTGTGCTGCCAACTTGGCATTTTTCAAAGTGCTTTTACATTCATTGTCTCTAATGCTCATGAAAATCCTGTGTGGTAGATACTGTTAATTGCATTTTCCAAGAAACAAACTAAATTTGGGAACTAACATTTAAAAAATAAATAAACCGAGAAACAACTTTTTATTTTGAGATAGTGGTAGATTCTTATGCAGTTGTAAGAAATTACAGAGATCCCTTAACCCAGTTTCCCCCAGTGGTAACATCTGATGTAACTAGAGTGCAATGTCACAACCTGGAAATTGACATGATATAACAATGCATGTACACTCATTTATGTGTGTGTGTATTTAATTTTGTGCACTTTATGTATTCATGACTATCACCACCACAATCAAGACGCAGAACAGTTCTGTCCCAAGGATCCCTCGTGCTACCTTCTTATAGCCACAGCCACCTCCCTTCCCCCACTCATGGCAGCTACTAATCTGTTCTCCATCTCTGTTATTTTAAGAATGCTATATAAGTGGAATAAAATATGCAATTTGGGGGAGTTGGCTTTTTCACTCAGCATAATTCCCTTGAGACCCATCCAGGTTATTGCATGTATCAATAAGTTTGTTATCAATGAATTGTATTCCATGGGAAGGATATAACATGGGTTAAATATTCACCTGTTGAAGAA